CTCTAGGATCCAGGGGTGGAGGGCATGGCTCTGCAGTAGCAGCACTTGCCCGCAAAGCCCACGCTGCCACAAGCCGGCATGCGGCCACCACCACCCTGCACCACTGCAGACCCTTGCAGCTGGCTGCGGGGCAGAAGCAGTGGTGCAGTAATGGCCACTGCATGCAAGCCCCCCTTTCCACGCTGTGGCCAGGCAGCACATAAGTGGCCCACACACTGTGGCTGCTACTGCAGTGCTGCTGCCGCACCCTACACCACTTGCACACACAGCCATGTGGGTGGTCATGGGATGGTAGCACAGGGTGCAGTGGCAGAATTGCAGTGGCAACCTCCATGTGTGAACCCTGTTTTGCTGGGCAGTGTGTATGTGGCCTGCAACGTGGCACCCCTGCCTTCGTGCCCTGCTCCTGGGAGTAGGCACGGGGTATGCTCCCCCCCTTCTTGATCTACCCCCACAGCACCTTCCCCACCTGACACCACACTTAGCTGCTGGGGTGGATGTCTGTGTGTACCTCTGTGTCCACATGCCTGCGTCTGGGGGGTGGGGATGGGGCTTTAATTTTTATCATGGATTTTGGGTTTTTAAATCAGAGAACTTGCAATCTTTTAAAATCAGAGAACCAGGATCCCTGCTGTTTACGTAACACATTCCCCCACAGATTTATATTTTGTACCCAGAAGCAGTCTTGTGGCCTTCCAAGAACTTGAAAGCAAAAGTATACATTTAGAATTTAATTTTATTTATAGTTATAGTTTACTGAAACAGTAATGCAAGAACAAAACTGTCACCTTCTGGGATTCCTCTCTAGGACCTGCAAGTGATAGAAAAGAACGGTTAAAAGAAACTCAGAAGCAAGCCTCCCAATTCACAACACTTGGCAATAAAAGGTGGTTACATGGATTTTAAGGTAGATTCTGCTTTCTCACCTGAAAACTGAGATGGAACACCTGCAGAGTAATCTGTAAGGAGGTTCTGCAGATAAATCTTAAGGATTTTTTTTTTTTTTTTTTTAACATACAGGGGAGAAGACCAAACTTGCTGGGTTTCATAGTTTCTAGGGTTGGAAGGGACCTGAGAAGATCATCTAGTCCGACCCCCTGCCATGGCAGGAAAGAGTACTGGGGTCAAACAACCCCAGCAAGGTGTTCATTTAACCTCATCTTAAAAACCCCCAGGGTAGAAGCCTGCACCACCTCTCTTGGGTTAGATTATGGGAGTCTTAAGCCAGGCTGTAACGGCAAAATGATGACTGCCCAGGATAGTAATCTTATTACTTAAGGACACGCTGACTGCTGTACTGTAGCCACTGCAGCAGAAGGCTAGAGCAGGCTACATCCCCCTTGCCCAAGCTGTTCTGTGCTACTGTAGCCACATGGCTGCTGGGGTCAAAATTACTGAGACTGGGCTCCAGCCAAGACACAGTCATGGGCGTGCTTATTCACTACTCTGTGAAATCAGGCTTGTGCGTCCTACCCTTGCAAGCTGGGCTCAGATGAAGCTTTGGGCCAAGACAAGTTTTTGGGCTGCTCCCCCATGTGGGCCCAGCCTGACCCCTGTTCCCTCAACAGCAAGCTGTGAAGGAAGCCAGACCTCCTGCTACCACCCTCGCTGCCACCATGAAGCTGCACCCAGCACTTACGAGGGGGCCTGGCCGGCCTTGGCTGCCCTTGGCTACTCTTCATCATCAGGGGGGATACCCAGCTCCTCATCGGTCCAGGCTGAGGGATCCGGGTATGGGAAGTGGCCCTGCAGCAATGGCACCAGGCTTCTGCTCAGAGTCCTGCCTGCTGCTCCTGGGGATGTGCCATCTGTGGGCAACCACCACCCCACTTCTCAGCCCCACCACTGGCCCTCCCTCCCTCTTCATTGGCTACCGCCGTGGCCCTAGCCCCACCCTCCCGCTTCATTGGCTATCGCCCCGGCGCGGCTCACCAGCACAGTGTCCGGCGAGTGCCAGGAGTGCCAGAAGATCCAGAACCACATGAAGCCGCTGATGAGCTCGCTCAGCACCACCTGCCGCCGCGTCACCTGCGGGAACTGGCGGTATCGCGGCACGGGGTGCCCCGAGCTGCGGACAGGAACAACCACGTCACCCTCGCCTG